TAGAAAATATGACATAACATAAACTAACACCAAGTAAGCAATCAACGTAATCCACCATATAACTAAAAAAAAGGTGGGGAGGGGGAGAATACTAATGGATGTAAACATCCATTTCTAATAAAAAGAACATTCAACAAAGTAGGATTCTACTTAGAAAATCCCAAAGATTCAGCATAAAAATGATTGGAACTCAATGAAAGATTCAGTAAGATAGTAGGGTACAAGATCAGCATAGAAAAATCAGTTGGATTCCTCTATACTGATAAAGACAGCTTTATAAGGGAAATTAGGAAAATAATACCATTTATAATAGATAACCCAAAATATGAAATACTTAGGAATAAATCTGAGAAACAAATACCTAGCCAAAGAAGGTATAAAACACTACTACAGGAAACCAAGAGATTTATAAAAATGGGAGAACATACCATGGTCATCAATCAGAGAAGGCTTCACATTGTGAAACTGTCAAAACCCCCCAAACACTCTATAGATATAATGTAATCCTAGTCGAGATTCTAACATCATTCTTTAAAGAAATGGAAAAGCTGATTACTAACTTTATATGGAAAGGAAAGAGACCTTTGAAAAGGAAAGCATAAACAATGTTGGAAGTCTCTTGTTCTCTAATCTCAAAATTTGCTACACAGCACAGTGGTCAAAACAATCTGGTACTAGTACAACAAAAAGTGCACAGATCATTGGAACAGAATTGAGAATCAGAAGTAAATCCATCCACATATAGGCAGCCAGTCTTTGACAGAGCACCAAAATACATTAAATGGGGTGAATAGATAGTCTGTTCAACAAATGACACTGACAAAATTAGAAATCCATTTGCAGAAGAATGAGACAAGATCCATAATTCTCACCCTATATAAAAACAAATTCAACGTAGATAAAATACCTAAATGTAAAACCTATAACTATAAAGATCATCAATAAAAATTTGGTACAAACTTCAGGGCTCTGGTACATGGCAAAAATACACTATAGGATATTAACTAAAAACACATGAATAGTAGAAGACAAAATATATGACTTGGACCTCCTAAAAATTACATACTTTTGTGCATCAAAAGTTTTCATCAGAAGAGTAAAAAGGGAGCCAACAGATGGGGGGAAATTTTTTTCAGCATCGTATCAGACAAAGGACTAATCTCTGAAATTTATAGAAGACTACAACACTTCTGCAAGAAAAAGACAGTACATTTAAAAAAATGACAGAGGATGTGAACAGATATTTAGGCAGCCAATAAACATGAAAAAATGTTCATGATCATTAGCCATTAGAGAGATGTAAATCAAAACAATGAGATATCATCTCACACCAGCATTAATAGTAAAGTTTAAAAAAAACAGAAAAATTCTGGTGAGGGTGTGGAGAGACTGGGACCCTCCTAAATTGTTAGTAGTACTGTACAATTGTTCAACCACTGTGGAAAATGGTGTGGTACTTCCTCAAAGAGTTGAAAGTAGAAATACCATATTACCCACCAATCCCTCTACTTGATAAGAGCTAGGACATGAGTAGATCTCTGCACACAGATGTTCATTGCATCACTATTCACAATAGCAAAAAGATGGAGACTTCCTAAGTGTCTATCAGTGGAAGAGTAGAATAACAAACTTTGGTGCATACACACAATGAAATACTATGCAATGAGGAATAATGAATCTGTGAAATACTTCTTAAACATCCATTAAGAATCATCTTAATGGATGAACCTGGAGGACACATGCTGAGTGAGATTAGTCACAAAAGGACAAACAATGTATGAGACCACTATTGTAAAAACTAAAGAAAATGTTTTCATACTAAAAGAAACTTTCTTTGATGGTTATCGGAGGTGAAGGGAAGGGAGAATAATTCACTGACTAGATGCTAGACAGGAGCTCTGGTAGCGTAGTGGTTACGAATTGGGCTGCGAACCTTAAGGTCAGCGGTTCGAAACTACCAGCCGCTCCGCGGGAGAAAGATGAGGCTTTCTACTCCCGTAAGGATTTACACCCTCGGAAACCCTGTACAGGGTCGCTATGGGTCGGACCCGACTCGATGGCACTTAACAACAACAACAGATGCTAGACACATTAATTCGGGTATGATATATACAAAAAGAGGGAGGTTGACAGAATAATGACGAAAATAGGTGAAGACACAGGGAGGTATGCAAAGGCGAAATGGCATAGAGGTAAATAGTGATATATAAACCTTGGAGCAACAGTGTTCAGTGGGTAGATTAATGGACAGAGACACAGGGTGAATGTGTATGGGATATATGTGTGTGTACTTATTTATATATCCTACATTACTATATAGGAGTTCAAAAGAGGATATTTGTGCTTATGTAACCACGGAGGAATCAGGACAAATGTATGAGAAGATTGTAACCATTGAGGTGAAGCAAAGCATATGAGTTGTTGAATGTAAAACTGATGATTGTCTTCAAACCTTTGCTCACTTCAATGTAAAAAATTAAAACAAAGCAAAAAAACCTGGCCTTACTTTGGAATTTTGTATATTAGTTGGAGTGAGACCTCAGCATTGATGCTTTTCAGTCCCACAGGTGATTTAAAAATTTCTCCAGGATTGAGAATAGGCATTTTGAAGACGAAGTCCCATTGTGACTGTATGAATGAGTGGCTGGATTAGAGAGAGATCATTGAAGTAACAGAGCTGAGTGGTTTGGATGTTGGCCAGACCATTCTTAATGTTGAACTTTGATCCAACAAGAGGAGAAAAGTGAGCCAAGTTATTTGTGAGGTGGAATGATGAGGTAAATATCTTCAGTGAGCCAGGGCCAGGGGTGGTTATGTGGAGAATAAGAGCCTCAAAAGAACATGTTTTTTAATTTTCCTGAAGAACTGGGGAGTAATGGTGTGGAATCATTTGTAGAGTTTCAAGGAACAGCTCAGCTCTGTCTCCACATGGTTATTAGACACTAAACAATCATTACACATACTCTAACGACCTGAGAGAGCCGGGTTTCATTTGTTACAAGGACATAGAAGGGATGTTGTGAGAAGAGGATTTGGGTATAGGAGAGTTTGCTGATGGTGATGTGACGTTTCTAGAAGACAGTGGGAGTAAGGAAGAGTAGTCTAGGCATAAGAAAATTTCGTGCATTCTGGAAAGGATGGTATTGTATATTAACTAATGAAAACAATGGTCAGAGACCTGGTGAATTTAGTCTCAGCAGTTTCTTTAAGAAGGTGTGAATGGAAGGAAGTAATAGCATCAGAACCATCTAACTTAAGTGGGAATAATGACCAGGATCAGCCTAGAGCGATTCCCACAATGTGGAGGTCAGACAAATTTCTGCTTCAACCATTTTACCAGTTCTGTCTGACACCAGTCATACTTTTCTCTGGTGTTTTGTACTTGATGGGTTCGATAATCTGTTACAGTGGCCACAAAGAACACACGGAGTTAAGTGGTTTATTAAGGAACAAGGTATAAATAGGCATCAGGATCAGGAAGCATGTAGGCAAAGTCTGCCTTCTGCAGTGTAGGACAGTTCTCTCAGCTCCTCGCCACAAGGCAGGCCTCCTCTTGACCCCCTGTTGTTGTTGTGTGCCGTGGAATTGGTTCCGACTCAAAGTAACCCTGTACAGAGTTTCCAAGGCTGTAAATCTTTACAGGAGCAGAAAGTCACATCTTTCTACCGCGGAACAGCTGGTAGTTTCGAACCGATGACCTTGCGGTTCGCAGCCTGATTCGTAACCACTATGCTGGCCCCCTGAGGACAGGCTTTTGTTGGCCCTGCCATCTGTTACCAGTGACTGCCCATTCAGTACTTGTCTTCAGTGGTACAGTCCTTAACTGTTACAGTTTGTTTTAGTTATCTAGTGCTTTTATAACAGACATACCACAAGTAGATGGCTTTTAACAACAGAAATTTGTTTTCTCATAGTGTAGGAGGCTAGAAGTCCAAATTCAGAGAACTGCTCTTGGGGAAGGCTTTCTCTTTCTTTCAGCCCTGGGAAAAGGTCCTTGTCTCCTTTTCAGTGTCTATAGGGCCAGCATTTCTTGAAAATCTCTATGCATGTTGGCATCCATTTTCCCCTGGATCTAGGAATTTCAAAGTATGGGATCCTAGCTCCACAGGGCACACTCCACTCCAGGCTCTTCTTTCTTGGTGGTGGCAGGTTCCACTTTCTTTGTTCACATCTCTCGCCTTAATTTTTGTAAGATGAAGGATTTTGTAGACCACCACTGGGAAGTTTCCTTACATCACATCAGGGTTGTGATGGAGTAAAGGATATTGCTGTCCACCCTTAATCCTCTTACTGGTGTATCACATTAGATCACATCATGGGGAATCATCCCACATTACATAATGGCCAAACCATTGAGAATCATGACCCAGGCAAGCTGACACATATTTTGGGGAGACAACAACTCAATCTCCAACACAGCTCTTTTAGCCTCCTTTCTCTCTCTGCTTCTTCTCTTCATTCTTTCTAATTCCTCCTGTTGTTTCAGTTCCTGCTTCTTTCTTTCTCAGAAACCTCTATGGTGCTGGCTTCACGTATATTACAGTAGAAGCATGAACAGAATGGTACAAAATGAGGGCACAGAGGAAAGTGGTTAGCTCTTTCCAGGTAGGACAGTGGAAGTCAAGCTCATTCTAGATATGACAATGCAAGTCAACCCTTCTTATTGCTTGTTGTTAAGTGCCATAGACTCAGTTCTGATGCATAGCAACCTTGTATAGGGTTTCCAAGGAGCTGCTGGTGGATTTGAACCGACGACCTTGTGGTTAACAATGCAGTGCTTATCCTATTGAATGAGTGATTTAATTAGATGACATTCAAGAAAGCGGTCCAGGTAGACAGAGAAAATGAAAGGTATCATTCGCTGAAAGATAGTACATGTAAAGGACCATTGCTGTCAGTTGTAACATAGGTCTGTGACATAGATATGGGGCAGGTAAAGTAAAAGCTGGGAGTATAAATGGTATCACAGTGCTTGTTTTGTCTTTTTGTTCTTATAATAGGCCAATCCCAAGATAATGAAAAGGAATTGGCTGCACTTTTCCAGCTATGGCTAGAGACCAAAGACCAGACTTTCTGTAAGGTATGGTTTTAAGAAATATCAAACTTGCTTATTGGATTTCCAGAATCCTTAAATTAACTAAATTTCTTTCGTCCGTTTACCTGTTAATGCTTTTCTTTTACTCCAGCAAGAAAATGAAGACAGTTCAGATGCCACAACACCTGTTCCTCGGGTGTGAGTATAATATATTAACAGAGGGTGGTATCCCATAAAACTAAGGTACTGCCATGGTCTTGCTGACATGTCTTATTATTTGAGAGCTGTAATGGATACGAGGACTCCACTGAATCTTACCTGTTTCAATACACCTAAGGAGGGTGACACATTTCTAGCAATAAGAGTGGCTCCATATAGAAAGGATTCCTTTTTTTCCCTCAGCTCCTGTCTTATTTTTTGTTGTTGAGAATATTCACAGCAGAGCATATACCAATTCAACATTTTCTACAATTCAAGTTGTACAACAATCCTCACCCCCCTTTTTCAAATTACTCCTCCCCCATTAACATGAACTCACTCCCCACCCTGGTTTCCTGTCTAATATTTCAAGTTGCTATTGGCAGTGGGTCTCATACCAATAGTTATTAAAGTAAATAGTGAAAGAGCATAATGTTCAAGGTAGACAGTTGGCTTACTAGTTAAACTATTATTTGCTTTTCAAATACTTCAGAGTATGTTTTTGGTTAAGATTTAAAAATTATCTCAGAGCAATAGTTTCAGGGGCTCATCTACCACTATGGCTCCAGAAAGTCTGAGTTCCATGAGATTTTGAAATTTAGTTCTGCATTTCCCCTTTTTCCGTGGACTCTGATAAAAAGTTCAGTAATGGTAGCCAGGGAAAGGTTCTTGATTGGGCAGAGCATTGCGTAGCTTAGTGTCTGAGGAGACATGATCTGCTTTATGGGTGGGCATAATTTCTTCCATGTATACTCCTTCCTTAGTTCCCATTTGAGAATGATTCATGTAGCCCAACTTTTTCATTTTCTCTGTAAGAAAATTGAGGTATAAAGAGGTTAGGTGACTTTGGGAGGTTGGACCCTGACTAATAATTCAGATCCTGCCCTCTTTTTATTACATCTCATGGTACTGTTTTCAGTCTGGTATGGTCCTTTATTTTCAATTGTAAACCAGCATAAAAACCCATCCTCTGTTACTTAATATGAAAGAACCACTGCCTAAGACAGTAGGGTTATGAAGCTCAGTTTTTGGGTAGTTCCCCTTTTACGTGCTGTTGAGTTGGTTCTGACTCATATCGACCCTGTATAACAGGGACGGGGGAACATCTGGCCTGCAGCATTTCTAGGCCTGGGAAATTATTTGGTGTGTACCTGCCAAGACAACAGCAGTTCCAAGCCATCATATTATGGGTGAGCTAATTAAATATTTGGTCAAAATATGGCAGGCTAATTTTTAAGTTAATAATTTTTTTATGGCCTAAAAATTATGTTATAAATTTTGGCAGAAAAAAGGTTCCCCGCTCCTATTGGATTGGGTTTCTGATGAGCAACTGATGAGTTTGAACTGCTGACCTTGTGGTTAACAGTCCAGTGCTTATCCTACAGCACCATACTTCCCTTGTTACTGTTAATTGATGTCAAGTCAGGTCCAACTTAGAATGACTCCTAGAATTACTCATTCTGACTCAGATTTCTGAAGAGTAGCTGGTGAGTTTGAAATGCCAAACTTAAAATTCAAACTGACCTTGTGGTCCAGTGCTAATCCTACCGCACCACACCAGGACTTCTTAGAAGGCAGCAAAACCACCCTTTCAACAAACAAACTTGAGATTTTTTGTTTCTCCAGGGATGACTTTTTTGCTGCCATTAGATTAAACTTGTTTAACTGCAATATTGGGAACAATAGTTAAGTGTTGGCCTCTTTATCACCTACTCAATACTTTGTGGATTTTAAGAAGTAATTTTGGGAACACCAACAGGAGTTATTTGGGTAGAAGTGGAATGTGATTTTTGACCTTTTTGCAAGAATTTCAAAAGTACTAAAGAAGGGGAATTTTTTCATGTCGTAGAGGAAATGGAAGCATTTTATTTGTACTGGTTCTGGGTACTGGGAAAGGGATGAAATCACCTGCTAGCCCTCAAAGTTGATAAAGACTTCTTTATGTTCCAGAAGAACGGACTATGTGGTACGGCCCAGCACAGGGGAGGAGAAACGGGTTTTTCAGGAGCAGGTAAGAAATATATAGAACACAGTATAATTTCTGTATCAGTGTAACAAGTAAAAGTAGCTCTTAGCCTGACCCCTGGGGTCCAGCTTTGTGGAGGGAACTCCTTAGAGTTTCCATTGGTTGAGATTATGTATGAAAATGAGAAGTGCTTTGATGATCTTTTCTCCCTAGGATAGCAGAATCCTCTTATTATCCCTTTGCTCAGTGACTAGGGCATTGAGGATTATTCTTTCCTGTTAAGGTGGGCTCAGTAATCCTAATATTTCCGTATTTCAGTCCCTCTTGGTGCATCCCCTTATAATAAGGGAAGTGGTGGGAACCCCAGTGATTTTGACTTACAGCCTTCTCCTTTTTTCTTGATAGGAGCGTTACAGATACAGCCAACCCCATAAGGCATTCACCTTTCGAATGCATGGCTTTGAGTCTGTTGTGGGGCCAGTGAAGGGTGTGTTTGACAAGGAGACCTCACTCAACAAAGCCAGAGAGCACTCACTGCTTCGCTCGGACCGGCCTGCGTATGTCACCATCCTGTCTCTTGGTATGTGTCATTAACAATTGGGAGGCATTCCTTTTCTTGACCATAGTAGCTTTTTTTTTTTAAGTACTGCTTTTATATATACAGAGAAGCTTTTGAGGGTGAGATACAGCTTTTGGAAACTGGGGAGGTGAAGGGAGAGTTCTAGCCACAAGATTTATAACAGGAATTAGTGTTTCTTCCTGAAGTGTGGGTTCACATTCATTTTTATTTGGAAATTGTTTACAGGTCAGCTAAATTGTTGTAATTGAAGTGTAGGAGTTGGTTTCTTTCGGGTTCTGTCTCATTTAAAGATGGGGTTTGTTGACCTTTTTAGTGCCCTGAATCTTCTGACATCTGGTGAAACCTGTGGACCCCTCCTGATTTATGCTTCAAAATTCCCAAAATGGAATACTGTTAGAAAAGAAGCAATCATGTTGAGATTGTGATCAGAATTTTAAAACCAATTCATGATGCAGAAACACATTTTGTCATATTGAATGAGAGGAAACTCCTATAGTTTCCAAATAATGATGTGAATCCAAATGATGCCTGCATTAGATTGAAATTAGCTGTGATTTCTTTGACAGCATTGCAGATGCTACCAATATTGCGACTTATTGCTATTTTTCATAATTGAAGGAAATACTAAGTTTTTCTCATCCTAGTTCAGGGACCCACTTAATTCTAAAGTGTTCATGGAGTCTCTCTTTCCTAAGTGTGTGACGACTATGCAGGGAACTCTAGTGGCAGAGCTCTCAACCACCAAGGGGCAGCGTCCTCCTAGTGCTGAGTCTTAGAATCTCTCTCCACCTCAGTAGAATCAATGAGCTTGACTCTTAGCCATTTTGTCTTCTGTTTTTGTCAGTTCGTGATGCTGCAGCTCGGCTGCCTAACGGAGAAGGCACGCGGGCAGAGATCTGCGAACTGCTCAAGGACTCACAGTTTCTTGCACCGGATGTCACCAGCACTCAGGTAGGGTGGAGAAGAGATCATTGATTTCTTCTTTGTTCTAGGTAGATTTAAGAAGACTTGAGAGGAAATATATAACTTAAATTTTTAAGCAAACTAAATGAGGAAGGAAAAAAGAGGGTATCTCAAATATGTACAGTGGTGGCCTAAAACATAAAATACTTTGTTGTTAAGGAACCATGAATTTGGTGCTAAGTTTTCCTGCGACTTATACTAAAGGAATAACCGGTCGGTTTCTTAGTTCAAAATGTTCTTCACGTTGAAAAACAAACCAATCTTTCGGGAGTCTCACAGGATTTCTTGTTTGGCCAAATGATTTAGTGAACCATTGGGAGTACCACAACCCAGACAGAGATATTATCTGTTTATCAGCTGTGACTTCTATCCAGTGTCCAGATAATTAGTGTGTGTTTTGCTATGTATAGTCTCAAAAACAACAAATAAAATTATATTTTAAAAATAAAAATCCCAAATAGCTTGTGTTATATGGATCTGACTTGACTCCTATGTATCTTTCTTTTGCTCCTTAGGTGAATACAGTAGTGAGTGGTGCACTGGACCGGCTTCATTATGAAAAAGACCCATGTGTGAAATATGACATTGGACGAAAGCTGTGGATCTATCTGCATCGTGACCGGAGCGAGGAAGAGTTTGGTGTGTAAGGCCTCTGAGGCAATATGGCAAACCAAACTAGGGATGCTCTGAATTTTTGCCCTAGTTCTGTTGTTCTCTTCATTGACACTCAGGCAGGAGAGGTTCGTAGGGGCAAGGACCAGTGAGGCCTGGATTTTAATGAAGCCATTCTCCTTAGAGTGTTCTTTTTTTTTTTTTACATTCAACAAATCATATTTCATTGCAATGGTTACAATTGCCTCCATGTGCTATTGGTTAACAGTATTTACCTCTCTTCCCTTTTTATTTTTGATGTACACAGAACACACAGAAGATACATATTGATTTAAATGTCCAAAGGGCACATTTTGCAAGCCAGCCTCCTGCTCATGGGTACGCAGCCTTTCTTATTCTATGGACTAAGGTACATTGGAGCCAAGCCATAGTATCTTCAGTAACCTCATATGCGTGGGAATCTTCCTCTTTTTCTCCGACCCGCCACTTTACCAAACATGATGTCCTTCTTCAGGGACTAGTCCCTGCTGATAATATGTCCAAAGTATGAGAGACGAAGTCTGGCTGTCCTGGCTTCCAAGGAGCATTCTGGCTGCACTTCCAATACAGATTGGTTTGTTTTTTGGCAGTCTGTGGTACTTAATAGTCTTCTCCAATGCATCAATTCTTCTAGTTCTTCCTTATTTACTGCCCAACGTGTACATGCAAATAAGGTTATTAAAAATACCATGACTTGAATCCGGCACACCTTAGTCCTCAAACTAACATCTTTGGTCTACACTTTAAAGAGGTCTTGTGCAGATTTGCCTAATGCAGTATGGCATTTGATTTCTTGACTGATGCTTTTCGAGAGTGTTGATGGTTGATCCGAGCAAAATGAAATCTGTGACAGCTTCAGTGTTTTCACTGAATGTTGTTTATTGGTCCAGTGGTGAGTGTTTTTGTTTTCTTTATATTGAATTGCAATCTATACCGAAGGCTATTGTTTTTAATCTTCATCAGTAAATATTTTAAGTTGTGTTAACTCTCAGCAAGCGAGGTTGTATCATTTGCATAATAACTCTTCTTCCAATCCTGATGCCATGCTTTTCCCTCATATAATCCAACTTCTTGGATTATTTGCTCAGCATACAGATTGAATAAGTATGGTGAAAGAATACAACCATGGAACACACCTTTCTTAATACTAAACCACTTGATGTTCTCTTGTTCTGTTCGAACAACTGCCTATTGGTCTATGTACAGGTTCCTCTTGAGCACAATTAAGTGTTCCAGAATACTTACTCTCCGCAATGTTGTCCATAGCTTGCCATGATCCACACAATCGAAAGCCTTTGCATAGTGAGTAAAGCACAGGTAAGCATCTTGCTTTCAGCTAAGATCCACGTGATGTTAGCAATGATATCCTTCATTCCACGTCCTCTTCTCAATTCAGCTTGAACTTCTGGAGGTCCTCTGTCAATATATGGCAGCAGCCGTTTTTGTGTTATTTTAGCAAGATTTTATTTTTGTGTGATAATGATATTGTCCAATGATTTCTGCATTCTGTTGGGTCACCTGTCTTTGGAGTGGCCACAAATATGGATCTCTTCCAGTCAGTTGATTAGATAGCTAATTTCTTGGAACAGATGAGTGAGTGCCTCCAGTGCCGCATCAGTTTGTTGAAAGATTTCAATTTGCATTCCATCAAATCCTTGTGCCTTGTTTTTGCCAATGCCTCCAATGCACTTTGGACTTCTTCCTTCAGAATCATTGGCTCTTGATCATTTGCTGCCTCTTGAAATGGTTAAACAGTGACCATTTCTTTTTGGTTCTTTGACCCTGTATTCCTTCCATCTTCTTTTGATGCTTTCTGCTTCATTCAATAATTTGCCAATGTTGTTGTTCAGTGCTGTCGAGTCATTTCCAACCCATAGCGACCCTGTATAGGGTTTCCAAGGAGTGACTGCTGAGCTTTACCTGCTGACCTTGAGGCTTAAACTGACTTTCTTTTTTAAAAGGTTTTTATTGTGGATTGAGTGAACGTTTACAGGGCAGATCATTAGTTTTACATTCAACAAATCATACTGCTTTTTTCAGTTAACAGCATTTCTGTATTCACTTTAGCTCTTCTTTTTTTTGAACACTCAGGCATATATAATAATTTACACCACCAAAGGGCACAGTCTGCAAGTTTGTCCTTAGAGTGTTCTTGTTGAAATTTACTGTTCTTGTTTACAGAGCGGATTCACCAGGCACAAGCAGCTGCAGCTAAAGCCAGGAAAGCCCTTCAGCAAAAACCCAAACCCCCATCCAAGGTGGTAAGTAACCTTATTAGACATTCTGGGATGGAGGTAACTAGGAATAGGTATTTGAGTTTCACTTACCTCAGTACGTCAGAAACCACAGGGGCCAAGCCTTCCTTCTGTTGAACCTTAATTCAATCTGTCTGTGAATTTTCTATACATTCGTTTGTAGAAGTCCAGTAGCAAGGAGAGTTCAATCAAGGTCGTTGGTAGTGGCTCTTCAGAACAGAGCCAGCTGAGCCTCAGTGACTCCAGCATGCCACCCACCCCTGTCACACCTGTGACTCCCACCACTCCAGCCTTGCCTACTACTCCTATTTCTCCTCCATCTGTCTCATCGGTGAGCAAAAGTGCCCCCAGTACTGTCTCAGAGCCAGCTAAATCTAGTTCAAGGTAAGTTCCTCTGTTCTTTCCCCAGCTTTCGCCCTCCAAAGTCTTTTTGGATGCATTTCCTAAGTTCTTTGTTTCTCCTTGATTTTCCTCACAGTGTTCTTCTGGTGTCTTCTCCAACAATGCCCCAGCTAGGAACAATGCTTTCCCCACCCTCCAGCCAAACTCCACCAACTTCTCAGGTCACCAGTCGGGGAGTGAGCCACGCCAGCTCTGCTGGACTGCCCCAAGTGCGTGTTGTGGCCCAGTCTAGCCTTCCTGCTGTTAGCCAGCAGTCAACAGGATCTACACAAACGCTGCCACAGATGCCAACAGGACCTCAGATCCGGGTTCCAGCTACTGTTGCACAAACCAAAGTAGTGCCTCAGGTATGGAAACCAGGGAGAAATGGACCTCGAGTTGGTCTTCTGATTCAGATGGGCATGTCCTGAGATTGTTGTCATTGGTGATGATGCTGATGACTGTGACTCATTTAATGTTCAGATCTGGGTAAGTGTTTTTACATATTGGGTACCAGAGCTTCAAGAAAGTCTAGTGATTTATCCAGGTAGATGTCAGGGCCTTTGTAGAGGCAGGATTTAAATGTAAACTTTATTGCTCCAAACTTCAGGCTTTTCCACTATATCTCTGGTGCTTGCCATGCCACTAACTGGCTGTGTAATTTTAGAAAAGATTCGTAACCCTCTTCATCTCCATTTTTTTATTGTAAAGCTGTTCTGAAAATTAGGATGCTTACACATGTACAGTGCCCTTTTCAGAAAACAATGACCCTTATATACTTGATGAGTTAAGCTGCCTGAAGATGTCCAGCTGTAATTAGAAGGGAGAGTTCAGAAGAAAGGCTCCTTCTGAGTGGTAGAGAGTCTGCTGATGTACACTTCAGTTTCTAATCACGTTTCTGGTTTCATGTTCTCAACTAGACGGTGATGGCCACTGTTCCAATCAAAGCCCAGGCTACAACAAGCACTGTGCAGCGGCCTGGAGCTGGGCAGACAGGGCTCACAGTGACTGGGCTCACTGCCACTGCCAGTCCCGTGAGTAAGTCAGCTACCAGTTCTCCTGGAAGCTCCACTCCAAGTTCTTCTACAGCAGCTGTCATTCAGAATGTCACAGGGCAGAACATCATCAAGCAGGTAAGTGGACTCTCCTCAGATGGGACTCTGCTGAGCTGGGAGAGTCCACAGAAAGCAGATTGGTTATCTTTTCCCCTTTACGTCTAGGTGTTTCAGGTGTGTTTTACCACAGACAGTGTGATCTGTGTAGATGCTAAAGAGATGTCTGTCTGTTTATTGCTTTGGCTGAGCTTCTGGATTTGGGGTGGACTGTGATGAAGAATTTAATCCTTAGTACTAAGGAATACTTTTTTAAATGTACTTGAGATGAAAGTTTGCATATCAAATTAGATTGCCATTCAACAATTCATCCACAAAACGCTCTGTGAGACATTGGTTCCCATCCCTGTAATGTGTCATCACTAACACCTTTTCCACCCCACCTGCCCCATTCCCATCCATCCAGTTTTCCCTGCCCCACCTTATTTAAAGGAACCCATTCTTCACTAGCATCACTGTTTATTTTATAGGCCAATCCTACTGTGGCACTGTAGGATTACCACACAACTGCAAGATCAATTTGAACCATAGGTTGGCAATTCAAATTCAACAGCTGCTCCTTGGAAGCCCTATGTAGGGTCGCTATGAATCAGAACCGACTCAGTGGCACTTAACAACAAGAATCTCATTTGGCTCAAAAGTGACCTCCGGGCATGTGTCAGTTCCAGTTTTTAAAGGGTATCTTTAGGAGTAGACTTAGGGATTCGTCTAGTCTCTGTCAGCCCAGTAAGTCTGGTATTCCTTATGAATTTGAGTTTTGTTCCACATTTTTCTCTCATTCTTATCAGGACCTTGTCTTGTACCTGGTCAAAATTGTCAGTAGTGGCAACTGGGCACCTAGGCTAGAAATGGTCCTAGGCTGGAAGTGGTTCGTGTGAGCCATTAGTCCTGTGGGAGGTGGACACTTTTATTATCCCCATTTTACCATTAAGCTAATGGGAGACACAGAAAAGTAAAGTTGTGTTATTTATTTGTTTTTTTAAGTATTGAATGCTTGTTGTGTGTCAGGCACTGTCCTGTATGCCAGGGGTGCTGTGGTGTATTATTACACATTACTAAGTGCCTGTTTTAACGGAGCTTATACTCCAACAGGGTTAAGAGGCAAATAAACCCAGATGTCGGGCAGTAATGAGTGCTATGAAATTCCATAAACAGGGTAAGGGGTTGAGAGTGATGGGGTGCTGATTTAGCCTGGGTGGTTAGGGAAGGTCTCTCAGAGGAGGTGGCATTTGAGCAGAGATTGAAGTGGAGTGTGCCATGTGATGATTAACTGTGAGTAGAAATTCCTAGTATAGGGATGGCAAGGGGAAATACTGTGAGTCAGGAATATGCTTAACATATTCAGGGAGCAACAGGAAAACCATTGTGACTGAAGCTTAGTGAGCCAGTGTGACAGTGTTAGGAGATCAGTCTAGAGAGGGTACCTGTGCTTAAATTGTGTGGAGGTGTATACTGGGCCTGGGTAGAGCAGTTAACTTTAAATGCAATAAGGAGTCATTGAGAGGCTGTAAGACTTGATCTGGCTGCTATGTAAGGGCCAAGAATGGAAGCAAGGAGGCATTTGCAGAGGTAATTCTGGCTTAGTCTATTCAAGTAGCCATTGGGGGTGATGAGACGCAGTAGTAGGATGCTGGACATAGTTTGAAGGGTGAGCCAATGTAAGTTTCTAGTGCTTGACCAAGTAAGATAGTGACAAAATTTACTGGATAGCAGAAAACAGGTGTTGAGAGTTGGAAACTGAGAGAGAAAAGTTTTTCTGAAGGAGGCAATTAGCAACTCTATATGAAGAGCAGTGAAAGTTTGAGTAAGGCGAGAACTAAGAATGGGAAATAGGTAAATGGTGAACTCAGGTTCTAGTGGATTGGTGGCCTTTTGGGATGGGTTCAGAAGAGAATGCAGCTTTCAGGCAAACAAGACCAAGGGGGCAATATTTGCACAGAAAGAAGGAAGGGTCAGAAAAGAAGGACAAATGGAATTGGAGAACCCAGGGAGGAAGTTGGAAGAGTTGTGTTATGTTGAAGCGATTGCAACTAATGTCATGAAACAAAATGAAGATATATTATTGAGTAGGGAACTAATTTGATTTACAGACTGCTATTTAGACCACAAAATATTCAAAGAAAAACAATGCAAGGTAAAGAAGTGGAGATAGGGAATAGAAATAATTTTTAAAGGAATTTTGCTGTTGAAGGGAGCAGGTTACTGAGGTTGTAGATTGAGGCTCTTCCCCCCCCCCCCCTTTTTTTTTTTTTTTTTTTTTTTAAATAGGATGGGAATGTCATAATATGTTTGCATTCTGGTGGGATAAATGTAGCCAGTAGAGAAGGAGGAAAAAATTGATGCAATAGGAAATCCCAGAATAGGCTAGAAAGGGGTTCCATGGGGGATTGCTAGGGGTTAATAAGTAGTAGTTGGTGTCTAAACTCAGACATCTGGCCCCAAAGCACATGCTCTAACTGCCATACTATCGCTTTCACAATGGAGGTTGTCCTAGTTGTAAATAGATGCACATAAGATAGTTGAGATTTGGGTATATATTGATTTACTGTTGTAGTTGTTAAGTGCCATCAAGTCAGATCCAACCCATAGGGACCCTGTATAGGGTTCCGAGAAGCGGCTGGTGGGCTTGAACCACTGACGTTGTGGTTCAAATGGCTTTGCAGTCCGGTGTATTAGCCCACAGCACCACACCAGGAATCCTGCACAGTTGGACTGCAAAGCCATTTGAATCACAAGGTCGATGATTCGAGCTCACCAGCGGTTCCCTGGAAACCCTATACAGGGTCCTTGTGGGTCAGAACTCACTCGATGGCACTTAACAACAACATTGATTTATTAGGTGGTATTAATTCTGTTTGGTATTGACCATAACATTGCAGTTATGTTTTTTGTTTTTTATTTCTTTTTTAGGTTGGGAGATAGTACATAAGTATTGTTCAGTGAAATGATTTATCTTGAATTTCCTTTAAAATATTCAAGTTCTTTTCTCACACACCCGCCTCCCAAAAATAGGAAGGAAAGATCAAACAAGCTCAGGAAATAACTGTTGTGACTGGGTGATGAGTACATGGGTTTGTTATGCTCTTCTTACTTTTGTGAATGCATGCAAGCTTTCAGAAGCTAAAACAAAACACATACACATATGTCCACACAATGGAGGTTTGCATAATTATACTACCTAGCCAGCTTATTAACATTTTGATTCCTTCATCAGTGCTGTTCCTTCCCCCTCCAGGTGGCAATCACTGGGCAGCTGGGTGTGAAGCCCCAGACAGGCAACAGCATTCCTCTCACAGCGACTAACTTCCGTATCCAGGGCAAGGATGTGCTGCGTCTACCACCGTCTTCCATCACCACAGATGCCAAAGGCCAGACAGTCTTGCGAATCACACCAGACATGATGGCCACGTTGGCCAAGTCCCAGGTCACCACAGTCAAACTGACCCAGGACCTCTTTGGGGCAGGAAGTGGCACTGCAGGCAAAGGCATCTCTGCTACCTTACATGTCACCTCCAATCCAGTCCACACTAACGAGAGCTCTGCAAAGGCCAGCTCAGCCAGTGCTCCTTCATCTACTCCAGCAGGCACTGCTGTGGTCAAAGTGACTCCTGACCTCAAGCCAGCAGAAGCCTCAAGTTCAGCTTTTCGCTTGATGCCAGCACTTGGTGTGAGTGTGGCAGACCAGAAGGGAAAAAACACAATGGCCTCTTCGGAAGCAAAACCAGCTGCCACCATCCGCATTGTTCAGGGCCTTGGTATGATGCCTCCCAAAGGAGGCCAGAGTATCACAGTTGCAGCCCATGCCAAGCAGGGGTCCTCGGTGGCGAGTGGTTCTGGGACTGTGCATACTTCTGCAGTGTCCTTGCCCAGTATGAATGCAGCTGTATCCAAGACTGTGGCTGTGGCATCTGGGGCTGCAAGCACCCCCATCAGCATCGGGACGGGAGCCCCCAGTATGCGACAGGTCCCAGTTAGCACCACAGTTGTGTCTACGTCCCAGGCTGTGAGTAACAGTAGTGGTCAAAAATAGTCCTTCTGTTTAGGAAGCTTAAGGTTGTTTAACTCTTGTTGCCTGAGAGAGACTCCCTAAGAACTAGGAAACTTCTCATTTGACTCATTTGTTTTCTTTTGAAATTGGTAAGAGGGTAATATGTAACGTAACATACATTTTTACCAAACCCTAAAACAGTAGAGAAGTATATTTAGGAAAGTACTTCTTTAGTCACCCTATACTTCCATCCTAAGGGCTGACTACTGCTAGTAAGTTGGTATTTATCTTTCCACCCCTTTTCCTGAGTGTTTTCATAATTATGCATACATTTTTTTTTTTTGGTTTGTTTTTTAAATATATATAAAAGACTTTACTAACTATGGTTGAGACCTCTCTGGGGGCATACACAGATACTGACTGTATTTTCTTTAGTGGTGTCATAGGCAAATGGTTAACTTTAAAAGGTTGGTTCAAACCTATCAAATGATATCATGTAAGATAGGCCTGGCAGTCTGCTCTGTAAAGATGACTTCAGCACATAGGTAACCATCCATTGGAATTGACTCCAAGATACTAACAACAACATAATAATCCTATGAGTTCTATGAAAGGAGGATACATTTTCATTGTTAATAATCAGTGCTACAGGTAAACCTTCACCACATTCACCAAAAACACCCCAAAAAAACCAACAGATAAAAAGTGCTGCAATGAATGTCCTTGTGCATGCCTGTGTAAGTCTTGCACATATGTAAGTAATTCTAGAGCTCGGATCCCTAAGATGTGTGTACGAATGTAAAGAGTTGACGGATGATGCTCCAGTTGTGGTGCTGGATAGGCCATACCAGCTTACACTCCCACCAGCAAATGTACGGCTTTCTTGTACCCAGAGCTGCATCAGATGTCGCTATATCTTTAATCCCACATACACATATCTTAATGGTGAGGAGGGACTTCAATTACTTGTCATTACTCTGGTCACTCATGAGGTGCAGTACCTATTTGTCTGGATACTGGCTGTTTACATGTTGTTAAGTGCTGTCAAGTCAGTTCTGACTCATAGTGACCCTATATAGGGTTTCCGAGGAGCAGCTGGTAGGTTTGAACTAATAACCTTGTGGTTTGCAGTCCAGTGCTGATCCTACTACAGCGCTATTTGTATGTGTTTGTGTGTGTGTGTATAATTTTTTTTTTTTTTTTCCAATCTTATTGTTCAAGGAGGCCTTTTGTACCATCTGGAGTTAATTCTTTATGTGTGTAAAATACTTTCTCCCAACCTTGAGTATGAACTCTTTTGCTCTGCAGGGTTCCACAGTTTTATGTAATCAAACCTGGCAGTATTTTCTTTTATGGTTTCTAGTTTAATGCCTTGTGTTTTTCCCACCACATTGTTATCTAGATAATCAAATATATCAGATTAAAAGAAAAAAGCCAAAATGTATAATTGATCATCCATTTATCTGAAATAGTTTCTGTGGATACCAAGAAATAGGGATCTAACTTCATACTATCAAATTATTCCAACATCATTGACTAGTTGATTCTTTCCCCACTCACTAATTTGAAATGCTACACTTATTTACAAACATTTATAAACAAAGTTCCCACGTCAATATAGGTGTGTTTCTAGAAGCGTGTGTATTTTTACCATAAAGCAGCCTCTAGATAAGGTTTGGACTCCTGGTATGGCACTGTAGGATCAGCACTGGACTGTGAACCACAGGGTTGGTGGTTCAAACCCACCAGCTGCTCCTTGGAAACCCTGTACAGGGTCACTGTGAGTGGGAATTGACTCAAAGGCACTTAACCAACAACAGATAAGGCTTATTGTTCTGAATAGTGGACTTCACATGAACAGTATAAAACATAGTTTTACTTTTCTAAGCAAGCAATATAGTAAAACATCAGTTACAAGGGATTAACTCCAGAGTGGCAATGGGGGATAAAGCACTGTACTGTAAAGTCAGTTTGAACCACAAGATACGTGGTTCAAATTCACCAGCTGCTCCAGGGTCACTGTGAGTCTACTGACTCGAAGGCACTTAACAACAACATATTTATGGGGTGGGAGGGAGGGGAAGTAATGCAGTGTGACTTACAAGCAAATGTTTAAGTTCCTATATTACAGAAATTAAGGAGCTCTGGCAGCGTAGTGGTTATGAGTCAGGCTGTTAACCTCCCGGTCAGCAGTTTGAAACTACTACTAGTTCTGCGGGAGAAAGATGAGGCTTTCTGCTCCCATAAAGATTTACAGCCTCAGAAACCCTATGCAGGGTCACTATGAGTCAGAATCGAGTCCATGGCACACCACCACCACCACCATCACAAAAATTGAAATAGTTTTATTTACTTTGAACTCTGTTCTTGTCAGATACTATCCAGTGGCATCTACTCTACTAAAGTCAGGCTAGGTAAACAGAAGCAAAGAACAGTTGGCGGAGCAGGAAGTATTGAACGGTTTCCACCATTCTGTACCCAACTAGTTTGACTAGTTCTAGAAGTGTAGTGACAGTCTGAAATGTTTAAAACAAGTAAACATTCTTAAGGAGAAGATCATCTGTAAACCCATTTGTAAATGCCATCTTGAGTTACTGTGTTTTTATATGTGTAAAAAAATACATAGAGACTTTACCTGGTGATCTCTAAGTGCTTTCTGATGGGCTACACGACTGGAAGTATAAATAGTCTAGAAACCAGCATGGGGACCCAAGAAGTTTGGCAGCTGAGTGCCTGGTGACTTTACCACTAACGAGCTTGTAGGGAAGATTGATGTCATCTTAGCATCCTGTCAAACCCTCCCTTAAATTAGGTTTTAAAAACTAAGTTTACATAAGATTTTATTGTGTACATGATTACATTTTGTTATAAACAGGCATGAAAAATGAGCCTGAACACAGGTGATAATAGTGATCCCAAAGGAACCAAGGCCTCAAATGTTTTATTAGTTGTTTTGTTTAGGTTTTATTGGCTTGGGGGCTGGATGCTTTTATCTGGTTGAGTTTATTATTAGTGTCCCCCAACTAACCTCCCTTATCGTTCTGATAAAATTGAAAGCACCTGGGGAATGTGACCTGTCATTACCTGCTAACAAACCTGAATTCTGGGAAAACATAATTAAGCAGTTATTGTATTAACTAATTATACATGCCCGTGTCCTTCCTTAGATTTACTTCTTCAGATAGTTATCATTTGTGTCAAAATTGGGGTCTCAGAGATGAGTACAGCCATAGCCTCTGAGGATCTTAGAATCTAGTACCATGATTAACAGAATATATACTTTCCTTTGTGATTTAAGTACACGTCTTACTTTATATCGGTAATAGCAGTTAATATATGGATGTTCGTTATGTGCCATGAAAGAGGATAGTAACAGATCAAATGATAGCTTATCACAGTAAATGAACATTTGACTATACTATATGAGCACTTTTATGAGGGCTACCTTGGCCCAAGGAGTCCTGGTGTGGCACTATGTGCTAATGCGCTGGACTGTAAAATCAGTTTGAATCTCAAGGTCGGTGGTTCAAGCTCACCAGCTGCTCCTTGGAAACCCTCTACAGGGTCGCTATGGGTCGGAACTGACTTGACAGCACTTAACAACAACAACCTTGGCCCAAACCTCAGTAATACTGGGACCCTGTAGTTCTTGTGACGTACTAGTGTAACAGTAGAATAAGCACGGGATTGCTAACCATAGGGTTAGTGGTTCAACTCCACCAGCTGCTCCTCTGAAACCCTATACAGGGTCACTATGAGTAAGAAACAATTTGACAGTTAGCAACGTAGTTCTTGTAGCCTTGCAGGTGACTCTTGGTGGTTTTCCTCTTCTCCTTCCATTTCAAGAGACCTGATTATTCTTTCTCTTTAGGGGAAGCTGCCCACACGGATCACAGTTCCACTTTCTATGATTAGCCAGCCTATGAAGGGCAAAAATGTGGTCACGGCCCCCATCATCAAAGGCAACCTTGGAGCCAAGTAAGTGCTAAAGAGGAGTGAGAGGACTGAAGTGTCTGTTGTCATACACCGAGAAAGCAGCTGATACTCTGGGTTCCTCCTTTGGTGTCTTTCCTTTGTTGTGCTCATCAACAGTATTGAGTGTCTTGTATTGTTTTAGGTGCTGAGATGCAGCATTTATTAAAACAGACAAATTCATGCTGTCATCAGCTTACATTGTTGAGGGAGAGAGGGGAAATAGGTACTGTATTGGATGATGATACATACTGTAGAGAAAAATAAAACAAGGCTGGGAGGGAGGGAGAGAATGGGGCAAGAGATAACAGTTCCAGATGTGATTGTGTGGGAAGACTTTGCTTTGGCATTTGAACTTGATGGTGGCCTTCCTGGGGCCCTGAGTTAAACCCAAATCAGAAGAACAGGATGAAATTAGTCTGATGGCCTCAAGGAAGCTTGTGTAATGCTGTTTTGGGGGAGGGTGTCATGTCAAGAGCTTAGATGTCTCTGGGACTGTTACTCATGCTGCTAAAGGTGTGGGACCTAAGACCATTTTATCCAGAGCACTGGTTGCTCTGCACTCGCTCTTCTCCTGTCATGGAAGCATAGTACCTGGGAGAAAGGTGGCCTCATCAGCTGGTTTCTGCTTTGGTCCAGAATGTTGGTATTTTCAGCCTAACTTTGGGGCAGAGATATGCCTTCGCTTGCCATACCTTCCTCCTGCTTTCCTTCCACAGCATCAGTGGATTGGGCCGCAATATCATCCTTACTACCATGCCAGCGGGTACTAAGCTCATTGCTGGCAATAAGCCTGTTAGTTTCCTCACTGCCCAGCAGTTGCAGCAGCTTCAGCAGCAAGGTCAAGCCACACAGGTAAGGTCCAAAATGACCTGTTGGCCATACCAGTTTTCTCTTTCTTTCCTTTGCTCTTCTTAATTGATAACACCCACGTGGGCTAATGTGTTAGACTGCAAGTCATTTGAACTGCAAAGTTGGTGGTTCAGGCTCACCAGCTGCTCCTTGGAAACCCTGTACAAGGTCGCTGTGGGTCAGAATCAACTCGATGGCACTTAACAACAACAACAACAACTTATATTTTGTAGTCCACTGATAAGACATTTTCTTTTTGTAAATAGGTTCGGATCCAGACTGTTCCAGCTTCCCATCTCCAGCAGGGAACAGCTTCTGGTTCCTCCAAAGCAGTCTCTACTGTTGTTGTGACTACAGCGCCATCTCCTAAACAGGCACCTGAACAACAATGATTATGAGAGAGGAAGATGACTTTCCAAAGACACCACGCCTGGTGTGTTCCAGTTAAAAGGCAGGGGCAGGGAGATTGCATCATTCCTCTAGGTGTGTCTGTATAGGGAGGACCTATAGGGGATGATGACAACAGTGGCCTCGGTGCTACAGCCACACCCCGTGAAGCACACTGAAGAGAGAGGTTCTGCTGGCGTTGCAAGGTCTGCTTCACACCCACCCAGGAGGAGCTCTGCCGTGGAATTGTTACAGAAGAGTAAGACGTCTAGGAAAGGCTCACCAGTTGCAGACTGTGCATGCAGTGAATAAGCCTCATTCTACGTGTGGATTGTGTTTTTTAGTTTCTGTTCTTCCATGACTAGTGATCTGGATATGAGTTTTGTGCCCAGAAAGTTTTATGTAACTTATTTTTTTAAAGAACCTATTGTACATCTTTGTCAAATAGAAACTTGGGCTTTTGTCCCTCTAAACTAATTATTATTTTGACCAGAATGAGAGAATGACACGATTCTAAGTAAGTTGATGGCTGACTTGGTAGCTGTATAGTAATCAAGAGGCTGCAAGGTGAGAAGGGAACATAGAAAGTGAAGTGGTGTGGATTCCCTAAAATGGAATTTGTTGGGTGCTACCTCTTAAAAGATGGGGTTACATGTGTTTTACCTACCAATGTCCTCCTCACCAAGGCTACTGATCCCCAAGTCCAAAATTAAGCAGAGTAAGGGATGCTACAGTCATGCCGTTTCTGCAGCACACCCTTTGCTGTGGTTTGTGGTTATATATTTTGATTGGCCCAGAGCTAGGGTCAGATAATTTTGCCTTGTGGGCTGGCCACTTGTTTTTGTAAATAAAGTTATTAGAACACAGCCACGCCATTTGTTTATGTAGTATCTATGGCTGATTTTCTGAGTTATGACTGTTACAGACTTGAGTAGTTGTGATGGAAACCATATGGTCCTCAAGCCTAAAATACTTAGCTAGCCGGTGAGAAAAAGTTTTCTGAACCCTCCCCAAGTGCCAGGGTGGTAGGAAGACAGCAGGATGTACAGGGTTCAACCTTCACTAGGCAGTGCCAGCCTCAGATCAGTCTATTTTTTTTTCTTTTTTCTCTTGATATGAGTGAAAGTTTACAGAGAAAATTGGTTGTCCATTCAATTCACAGATGTTTTGCTTCGTGACATTGCAGTCCTCACAGTGTTAAGAGCACTCTTCCCACTTCGTCTGTGTTTATTTTTTCTATTCTTCCTCCTCGCCAAACCATTCCTGCCTTCTGAGCTTTATCCCTGGGCATATGCTGCCTTTTTGATTTTATATGGCCACTGGTTCTATTAGGTACCTCCCTGGTGTTACTGTTCACCTATCTATTATTTGGGGGTGAGTTCAGTTCCATGCCAGAAGAGTAACTGAGGGCCATAGTTTAGGGGGTTCCACCAGTCTCCATAGGAGTCCTGGTGTGGCGCTGTGGGTTAATGTGCTAGACTGTAAGAGCTGTTTGAATCACAAAATTCAAGTTCACCAGCCACTGCTTGGAATCCCTACCACAGGTCTTTATGACTTGGCACTTGACAACAACACCAGTCTCTATCAGACCAGTAAGCCTGTTCTTTTTTTTTTTTTGTGTGTGTGAATTGTATGGGTTTACATAGGAGAACATCAGTTTTACATTCATCCTATTGTATTTCATTTCATTGCAATGATTACAATCCCTGCCATGCATCCTCAAACAACCAAAGGGTACACCCCACAGGCCAGCCCTCTGGCCGTCAGCACATAGCCCCTCTCCCTCCCTGAGTTCAGTGTCCCCAGCTGCTTCCTCTGTCCACATCATCGTCTCTGCCTCCATTTCTGGTGTCACTGCTTCTCTGGGTAGGGTCCGGCACTCCACTCTTCTCACTTGATGGTCCCAGGGACCACTGCTTCTGGACTGCAAAATCAGTCCCCTCCTTTTGTTACAAAATATCTATCTTTGCATTTCTGACCCTCATAGTCAGTCCTGATAGCAATTATTTACTATTGTATCCCCATCTCCTTTCATAAATGCCGTCCCAACAGATTAGAAACTATTCAATGGAGATTCTGCCTTTCTCCACCCCATCTGGAACTAGGCTCCCTCTTGAAAGCTTGTAAGCCAGTCACTTCTTGCCTTTGTAGCCCCTCCCCCCCGCCCCATTTTGGGTAGCCAATGTCTAAGTTCCCTATCCCTGTCCACCTTGTGTACCAAGGGGATGGGAATGATCCTCGCTGTAGAGATCTGTCCACTCCTTTGTCATACTG